CAGGAATTAAGAGAACATAATAAATATTTTATTTCAACATGACTAAAGCTGCTTAAGCCCAGAAAAATAATACATGTTCTAAATGCCGAAGTAGGTCATGTTCAAAATGGCCGATAAGATGGAAATTAAAATTTTTGTCGTATCTTCGGCTTTAAATGTAAAGTTAAACTATTTAACAGTCATTTAGAAAGCATAATATAATAATCTTAATTTTCAACATCAATACAAATGTAACCTTGAATAATGTCAACTTTTGAAAGTTTTAATACTGTACACAAAACACATAAAAATCATAAATGATCACAAGCAAATGTCAGTTTTAGAACATACACTGACAGCATTTTAAACAACCTGATGATCGTCATCATTGTGTATTGTCTTTGTTCACTCATTGTGACATTCCTCAGCACCATGGCAAGTACAGAAAATATAACAGGATAGTTTTGCCACAAGCAACTACATCTTGCTGTTGTACAAGGATGAATTGATGAAGATCCACACTTGATTAATTTCAGGATATCTGGCACTTGTAACACAGCTAAAGACAGTGGCACTGGAAGTAAGAGGTTTGAGACTTTATTAATTGTCCACCCGTACTGTTTAGGGTCATAATTTGGTGGAACAGCATCTAGAGCGGCCCTTCAGAGAATTGTTTGGTAATGTATCCTAGCAAAATGCTTCAGTGGTTCGAGGCAAGCATTTCAGCTCTGGGACTGAAGTAAGCTTTTTGTTGGACATTTTTTATGTTGATACATCGTACCGGACAGATGGCATGTCATTTGTGACCTTAGATCCATAACATGCAGCAATAAATGATGTGGCTTCAGCAACAACATTCGCTATTTCCCAAGCTTAGTGAGACGATGTCCAGCCTTCATTGTCTTTATTTTACCAATTCCCCAGAGATAAGAAACTGCATCACATCCCGAGAGGGCATGTGCTGCTATGATGTCACCAACGTATCCCTGGGCTTTTCCACAGTGGCCTTGATGTCGACAGTTATCCTAACATTGACAGCTGACAAGTTAACTCTTGTGACAAGTAGTATTGCTTAATCAGAATGAATACATCAGTGTAATCACAAATGACTTTGATACTGTCTACTCATCTAAAGGCCAGATACAACACCTGCTGCACAATAATTACATCAGCCTCTATATTCATAGTTTTTTTTATCTGGTTCGAACGTAGTGTTACCCTTGTGGATCTCAAGGGGTACTGGATCATGAACAGTCATGATGAGCTTTTTGCCATTTTGTGGAAAGAAATTGGCATTCTCCTGAACATACTAACAGATAAGACCGATGAGCTGCACTTTGTTCTTTGTCACACTCTGTGTAATCTTCTGAGGTAGTAGTTGTGTGATGAGAGCAGTTGATGACGTCTGCTGACAACTTCGCCAGCCCTTGGCAGTCTTGTTGTGTTTTTCTATTCCAGTCACAGACGAGATATGTATCACATCCATGCAATAGATCATTTTGATACACAATGTTGATGAATCCCTCAACAGTACCATTAGAAGGCCACGTGATCACTCATAAGAAATAGTGATGCCACCACCAATGGTGATTATAGTGTGTGTGTCTCAGTTTTAACTGTAAGGGTAAACCACAACTAGAAATTACAGACAAAAAAATGTATGATATTGTGCACAATTCAACTCACAGATGCAAACAGCAATCACGTGTAGTTATTCACTGATGAGAAGCCTAATCATAAAGTAAACTTCTTCATATATTCTTTATATTGTTGTCAAAAACAATAAAGATATATTGTTTTTATGTATATATTTCTTTGTCAAGTTGTTATATTATGACTAAAAACCGAGACTTAGATGACTACACGGTTAATGTATATCATTTATGACATGAGACATTGTGTTGTTTTTGTTCTGGCGGCGGCCATTTTGGACCATCTTGAATATGACGCTACACATTAAAAATACAGTTAAACCAATTATTTTACTGAATTCCTCGATCTCAAAAACCTAGGTTTGTAATTTTAGGGCTGAGATATCTGCTTTTAATTTATGGCAGCCATCTTGAATACTTCAATTTCCCCAAGAGTGACAAAGTGGCACCCGGCAGATTTGAATTCGGCACCCTCGAATTGTATAAAATCAGTCATAAAGCATTATCCGAACGCTTAGTCCAGGTTCTGCCTCAAATGATAGTTTATCCAACAGACTACTAATTAAAAGGAAACAAACAAGTACAATAAATTGTTTGTTTGTTTGAATTTCGCGCAAAGCTGCACGAGGGCTATCTGCGCTAGCTATCCCTAATTTAGCAGTAAAAGACTAGAGGGAAGACAGCTAATCATCACCACCCACCGCGAACTCTTGGGCTACTATTTTTACCAACGAATAGTGGGATTGACCGTCACATTATAACGTCCCCACGGCTGAAATGGCAAGCATGTTTGATGTGACGGGGATTCGAACCCGTGACCCTCAGATTGCGAGTCGAGCGCTAGCAATAGTAATATAGAAAATTAATGCTACAAAAGGAGTATTGAAACAAAAAAGTTACTTAAAAATGTTTAAATGTTTTATCCCTACTTTACATCAGATTAACATAATTATAGTAATTTGCAAAAGTCGGAATAAACGTTTTTAAGGTATTAAGTAACTCAGTTTCAGTAGTTTGAATTTTTTTGTTTCAATACTTTTTTGTAGCATTAAATTTTTCTATATTACTATTCCTAGCTAGGTTACGTATATGTCGATCACTACTTGGCTTTATAAAATTTAATTTTTTTTTATTATACTTGTTTAAATTAATCTAATGTTACAGTGTTCTAAATGCACCATGTTCTCTTAAAACCTCAACAGCAGATTTGTTCGATAACAACCATAAGTGAGTGAATTTGTCAAATCGATTAAATGTCAATAGCACTATAATCTTCATCTCGGATGCTTATTCAAAAATATATTCATGATGATATTTATGAAATGATCAAGATATTCTACGTTTTACGAAATAAAAATAAGATTAATATTCCACACGTGTGCACAAAAATGGTTTTTACATAGTTATAAATATATATATATATTGACCTTTTTCCCCACATAGTATTTCTTCTGCCATCAATATAATGCTAAAGTTTCTACGTTTACCAATTTTTTATATTACGGATAGTAAATTTGTTTAGTAAAAACGAGTATTGTCACTGTGTGTGTGTGTGAGAGAGAGAGAGACAGAGATAATTATTTATGACATTTGTACTCTGTGTTTTAATAAATAAGTATGATGAATTTAATGGTTGACAAAGTATTTTGTGAACAACGCCACCTTTATTACAATGCATGTTGTTAATTGTTTATGATCGATCTTTAAAGTCAAATACAGATGTGAATAATTGTCTTCTAGTTTCCATATAAGAGGCTGGCGCTAATTCGTTAATACTGAACACTGCTTCTCAGCCTTTTCCAGTATCATTCACCGCTACAAGCTCACTCACCACAGTTCGAAAAAAGATAAAAGAGTACTAAATTTAAATTTCAAAGTTCATTATTATAAGTTAACTATACATCAAACTACAACTAGAATGAATACCACATAAAGTAAACAAATATATATATATATATTTATAAAAATACAACTAGAATAAATATATAATAATTAATGACTTTTTTGTTCTTGAATTTGTTGTATAAATGATAATACTCATTTACCCTGCCTTTCACCCGATCATTCTCATTCACCCTGATTCTGATCTCATTAACCTCTGGGCGAGTCATTCGCCCAGTTGAGAAGGGCTTGTCTAGAACATAAAAGAAAATCTAATCAGCTGCAGATTACTTATGATAGCATACTCCGTTCTTTTGAGAAAATATTAAATTCGAATATTTTTAATCTGCACATTTTCTAATAATGTTTAAACCTTTTGCGGCATTTTTTGGCTAAAATATTTGATTCTCGTTCTTAAAAGTTTAATTCTAAATAGTATTTTTAGACCTGTTCTTATTTCAAATTTTCTGTTCCAGTTTTCCACAAGTAAATATGAATTAACACTACCTTACAAATCACTTAAAGCTTTCTTTTAGTTTTATAGATGCAAGAACACTTTTTATTGCAAAACTTTTTTAGCAGTAAATCTGCATGATCAGGTGTTTCACTGTTTGTTATTCTGAGCTTGTTTACCAATACTGCAGTAGCCTCTTTTTTAATCCAATGAATTCTGAAAGTGTTTACATCTGCAACTTTATCTCCCTTTTTTTCTTCTCTTTTTTTTTTTTGCAGCACTGCTCTTAATGATTGAATTTAAGTTTCAACAGCCACTGCGAGCTCACAAAAGATATTGCAGAAAACAAAAATTGTTTAAGAAAGTGATTTTCTGAAATTTGCAGTTAAACGAAGTTAAGACAGTTCGACTTCGCGTCACGTATTTCATTGTTATGCCAAAGATATATCTAGCCTGTATAAATTAACTTATTTAAGTCAAATTTACCCTGATGTGACGTGTGTGTGTGTGTATATATATTAATACTATAAAACAATAGTGAACAAAAAACATACAATGAATCTAAAATTCAAAACAATTCTTCCATTACCATTTCTTGTTGCCATCCTTAAGTCAGCTTATAATGGATGATGTCTGTAGTCATAGCACCCAAACGGGTTGGAACTGTTTCATCTATCAGACGTGTGAGTGCTATGACAACAGACATCATCCATTATAAGCTAATTTAAGGATGACAACAAGAAATGGTAATGGAAGAATTATTTTGAACTTTAGTCTCACTATAATGTTGTTTCTGTTGTGTGTGTAATTTTTTAAAACAAAATACATTTACTTAAGTAGATAAACTAGCTGCTGCAATATGATGGGGAGGGCTATGTATTTATCGCATCTTTGTGTACTTAATTCGTATAGGTACATGTTTGAGAAACGTTGTTTTGGATGGCTATTAAAAGTTTAAAATAAACAAGAATTGAAACAGGCCTATTTATAAGACATTATTTAAGATTCGATAGTCTTAACAAAATGAAACTTACCATTTCCTGTCACAAGACGAGAAGAGACCAACAATAATAAACTGACTAAATTCCAATGAAACAAACTGATCAGAGCCCATACACGTCTATGATGAGATGACACGTCACTATATTCAGGTTGCTTGTAAACGTATTCTAATGTCATGCCTTACTGCTACGATAAAATCATCTAAGGCTTGCAGCATCGAGTTGTTTAACGTGCCCTCTGGGGTTTCCTTGTTCTCTTCACGATTTATGTACCAAGCTAGCACGTGAAGCGCTACTACAGCGTCGTCCACTTGGTTCGGAATTCGTAAGGCAGGAGCTCCACCCCTTCATCTCGAACGTTCAAATAAAAAACAAACCAGGCGAAAATTGTTGGTAGATTATGTTAATTAGAATAACCTAATAGGAGGTAGAAGACAGGAAAAACATTTGCTTTCGTGTGTTGATTTAAAAATTTTCTGTTAATTAACTTCATATTCAATATAATGTTTACCGGAGAAAAATTCCAATTATTTAGAATGACAGAATATAATATAGTCTCACAAATGAGTCGGTAAAGTTATATAATAATTTAAAAGACTGGCATATTAAGCTCATATCTATATTAAAGTTTGCACAAAAAACTGAAGAAATCAGCGTTAACTTTATTATAAATGAAAATGGAGTCACTTTTTAGAACTGCAAGTAGTTTTTTATACCAAATATCTAACAGTGAAATAGTTTGAAACATATATATTATATGTTTATATGTATTATATGTATTATATTATATATATATTTATATATATGAAATTATGTCTTCAATCTGCGTATGCCTCCCAGTGGCACAGTGGTATATCTGCGGATTTACATCGCTAGAAATCGGATTTTGATACCCGTCGTGGGCAGAGCACAGATAGCCCATTGTGTAGCTTTGTGCTTAACTTCAAACAAACAATATGCGTACAATCACTCTGGCATAAGTACAGCATCTATACTATTATTCTGCTTGTTTGTATGTAAGACCGTTACGCTTTCTGACCGAGAACTTGCATAAGCATGCGTAGTTAGAATGTTTTCCCATGAAAGACTGCGCATGCGCATTATTCATTCGACGACAAACAGTCTGCCTGCGGCAGAGAGCGCAAAGCTCAATGATCACGACGCGACAATTGCTGTATGAAACAAGAAGAACAAAAGGGGAATGTAAATATACTTTACTAACCATTTTATACAACAGAATATTAAAAACTTATCAAAGTTTTTAAAAAAGTTTGACGTTAGGTCGCAGAATAACATTATAAGTTCATTTATCGATAGTGTTGCGTCATCGAGATCACGTGACTATTCTCACGCCCTCTACTTTCTAGAACTATCCTGTACTTT